GAGAATACAAATTAAACAGAATTTTGTCACTTAGTGTTCACTTGAATTTCCCCTTGAAGTGAGCTTGAAACTGGCAGAATTTTAACACCAAAACTAAGTTTGAATAACCAATACATAAAACAGAACTATCTAACTGGATTTTTCACCCCACCCTCCCAAACAGAATCTCAAACTCAAAACAACTTATATAAGGATGCAGGTAACAGAAAAAAAAAAAAAAAAAAAAATCACAGCAAAAATGATTCCTGAATTTAAAGGAAGGATGCCCACTTCTCTCTTTCTCTCAAGAGGCAGATGATCAGCTGAAAAATAAAAACATTGTATCAATAGAACACTCCAAATAAAAAAAAGTCGCAGTCATATTTCTGTGCATGCAATATTGAATGTTTAAAAAAAAATCCAAAGCAACCCCAAAAACTAACAAAAGGAAGATGTTGCCCAGATCTTATGACTCTATGGTTGAGGATCCTGATTGGGCTATTCAGAAAGTTGCTCATGGGGCACAGAGGTCTGGAGTTAGAATTAGATCAAGTCTATAGGCCCTGGAGTGGATGACCACCTCAGGTTAGGGTGTATGCTGTCTTCAGTTCATGAGTTAGTTCTTGGATCAGCAGCTTCAAGAATATGACAGCTAAGCAAGAGATCTCAGCACATGGCTACTTTGGGTCTTGACCCAAGTTCTCTGCTTCACTCAATTTCCTTTTAATTAATATTACTCACTATTACTACTTTTGGTAGTGATAAGTCACTTCAGTACCCACTGTGGGCTGTGGTTTGTAAACAGACATCGACAAATACAAACAGCAGTGCAATATTTGACCCAGACGTTAAAATAATCAGAGGCGATGGTGGAAATGAGGTAACTCTTCCCCAACACGTGTGAACAGACAGCTCCTGCTCTTCTAATGCTCTATGTCCATTAGGATAGAGTAGGGCTTGTCAACAGGATGGTTACATAAAGAAGAAGCTACAGAAGAGAAAAAAGAAAGGTTCAGATTCAAATTCGGTTCTTAAAGCCTTAAAGAAAAAAAAAAAGGAGCTACTCTACAGTAAACTGAAAGAATGGCAGTATGTCAGTTACAGGGACTGAGCAGGGAAGGAGCTGATGTCTTAGTGGGGCTGGGGCAGAGGGCTTGGGATGCTCATCAGAAGGGCAGAAGGGGATGGGGATGGGGGAGAAAGGGGAGCAGAGATGGTATGTGAAGTACAGAACACTGCAATAGCAAATATTTTGGAGAAGTTGAGGCAGCCCAGATGGTAGTGTTAGAAGTCATCCAGACGAGGCAGGAAAGGGTAAGACTGTCATCCCTGTTCCTTTTATCCAATATAATAAGCATGTATACAAATGCATATCAAGCAGTGACTGAAAAGAACTCAAAAAAGGTCACACAAAACAGGGTTTGGGTAAAAATATATTTCCCCCCATTTTATGTCTTGGCACTATTGATATATATGCATAGATTACCTGTCCATCACTCTCCTACTTTAACAGACACCAAATTACCAAGCCCATTTGCTAAGTGATTACTTTCATACTTGAAAAAATGATATGCTTCACATCAATACATTTTAGTTGTTTTTTTTTTTTTAAAAAGACAGGTGTCTAACATGCAGCTTACATACATGACAATTCTGCATTAACACTGAAAGTAGATTACACAACAGTTTTAGAAAACACATTGGTTATTTCCAAATAACAAAATGACAGTGATCTACAACTACACTTTAAGGCATATCAGCATATTTTAAAGTTTAAGAAATGGACAAAGTTCTAATGCTGTTCACAGCTTAAAGTTTAAAAATTTCCTTCATACCTACATACATTCTAGATTTTGTAGGTCATAATTTCCACTAAGAGTCATCACATATGTGTCCTGCCAATGGCACCAAGACTTTCAGAAGCTGAGATTTGATGATTTCAGACACTTGCAAATGGCAAAGCAAAGGATCTGAGTGGACAGTTTTGGTCGGACCACACAGAGACATGATGATGTGGGTTGGTAACAGCTGAAACACCTGACTGAACAGCTTGTATTTGAAACACTTATGTATATGGGAAGAAAGTGAGGAAACCAAGTCTACTCATTTGAGGTGCTGAAGACATGGAGAAAAAATGTTATTGCTGGTGAGATCACAAAGCAGAGAAGGAATAAGTAGCGTGTGCCCCCCGTGTTACATTAAATGATTTCCCTGGTTGGGATGCTCTTTCTGGACAAAAGCTTGGCCAACTAATAAAGATCCTCAGCTGGGAAAACATAGTCTCTGAACTGCCAGTAAATTCTCATAACGGCTTTTGCATCACATCCTACAGCATATGCTACTGTTATGGATAGCAAGACCGAAATCTAGAAGACACAAAAAGGTGGTCATTATGGTTCAACAAAAGATATGAGAAGAGGCCAAACAGAAGTGTCTGGCAAGAAAGAAAGAAAAAAAAAAAGTCCTCGGTGCCAGCAGTTAGCATGAGGGAGAGCCAAAAAATTAAACAGTCAAAACAGCAGCCTTGCGTAAAATTTTTTTCCTCTTGATTTTCTCCAGTGGAAAAACAGTACTTTCTCATTCTAACATTATTCACATTGTCAAAACTATGGACACTACCAAGATTGGTCCTCTGTAATAGCTAGTGAGGCCCAAGATACTGTGTAGAACACAGGCATCAGTAATTTCTGACTCTCACACTGATATCAAGAGAAAGATGAATTTATGTGGTTCTTGTGAAAATGATACAAATGTGGCCATTTTAAATATGTATTTTTTTTTTAAAAAAAGGTTATCCAAATCATTGCCTCCCTAAACCCTTCCAAAAAAGAAAGAAATCCATCCATCCCATGTTTGTTCTAATTTAAAAAGCAAGAAAGTTCTCAAAGGTTTCTTACTACCGTACTTACATGCAGAGGCGAAAGCACATCCAATTAGATTTGAGGGTATCATTATTCCGTGCAGAGCCAAGGACTACTGTGAAAAAAGGCATAGATACAGAAAGAAAAAGAGAAGAGCAGCAATAACAAACTAAACAGGGCTGGGGAGGAGTGGTAGAAAAAAGTTTAGGAACAGTATACTGAAAAAAGGAAAAGCATCTGTATCTTTTTGTTTCTTAGCTTTTTATTCCCTGACTCTTCTTCATATGATTTATTTTGTTGTAAAAATTTAATGTAAAACAAAACAAAAAAAATCAATCAATCAATAACCTTGGAATCAAAAAGTCAGTTGGATGTCTTTTACCAGTAGGCTCATTTTAAAAAGGCTTTAGTGATGCAAGAAACAGAATTTAAAAGTGTGTTTTCTGTTGCCAGGCACAAAAGCTTTCACACAAGCAGTGGGTAAAACAAGCATACAACACAAGTACTCAAGCTTTTGTCTGATGCACAGTTTATGAGCAAATTCAGCCCACAGCTACAATCAGCATGCCATCCACTATTTAGCCACTCCATAGCAAGCTTCAGGCTAGAATCATAACACAAAACAAAACAAATTTGGTCCAATAGCTCTCAAACTTGTCTTTAAACCACTGCTGCTACTGCTTCTGGTTTGCAGTTTCTATCTAGGTGAATTCTATCTTAGTTATTTGATGTATGACTAGAAAATGCAGAGGTGAATATCAGGCTCATGAGAAATGTTATCCTTCCAATTAAGAAACAGGAGATGATGGAGTTACAGGGAATGCTGGAAGGATCTTTTTAGTAAAGAAAGAAAACGAAGAAGACGAAAGGATAAGTATCAGAAAGGAATGGTATAGGAGAGGGATTAAAGAAAGATGCCCTTTTCCATAAAAGCTAGGTGTGTAGTATACTTCATGGTGTGTGGGTCAGTCCTAATACTCACTGATGAGGCGCTCATGCTTCATCTCCATTGGCCTTGGACATAAAGAGCAGATGGGGCTAGCTGTAGCAAAGGGAGAGGTGAGGAAAAATCCCTCACTTGATGAATGGGTTTCACAAACTCAGCTGTTCCATTCCTTCTTCCCTTCACTGCCAAATATCGAAAGGGGAGTGAGCAAGAAAGCTGGGCGTGAAGCTGAATCTCTACTGTCTTGACTGATGGGTTTGTGTTGTGTGACAGGCTCCCTACAAGTATGTACGGCAGATAATACAGTTTATAACAAAGTTCCCATGTGAAGGATTTCTGGAAATTTTTCCCTCATGCTTTGGGGAAATTTTATTAGAAGTTGTATTAATATTCTGAAATCAGTAACAAGGGTTTTTTTTTCAACCCACTGAAAGCAAATTCAGGTGTATTGATGAAAGATTCCTTGTCCTAAGTACTAAGAGGTTGTCGAAAACCCCTCTTCTACTAAACAATGTTGTATGCTAGCTCTATCTGTGAAAGGATCAAAGCTGAACTAGTTAAAGTGAACATAATCCTATTTTTTTTTCAAGGGCCATGCTCTCCAACTTGCCCAGGATTTGAGATCCAGAAGCAGTTGAAACCGTAAGAGGAGATGGTCAGTCTAAAAAGACCTACAAGTGCAGGTCAAATAATACTAACAATTAAAGTGAAAACAATTCATACACGTGTAAAAGTCATACAACGCTTACCCACTGTTCAGCCTACATATAAATCTACCTTGGTTTGGGGCAAGTGTGGAGAAGTGACAAAGGGAACTCAAGGACTTTGCAATCATGGACATGAATAATCAAGAAAATGCAAGTTGTTGTCATGGCTATTCGAGTTTCTCATTCAGCTGCAGAGACGGTAAAGATGTTTTCATGTCAGGTGTAGCATTTTACCTTCCTGTTCTCAATCCAAAGCCACATCCAAGTTACAGGCATGCTTACTGCTGCCATTGTGAACAACAGGCATGAAAGGCCGATCATTTACTTTCCAGAAACAAAGTCCAGCTGCACATAGCTTTTGCTGTCATTCCTTTGTTCTATCATTTTCCATCACCCAACAATAGCCAGCAGAATGAGTTAATCGTTATTGGCATTTGGGAAAGGGTAAAAAAAAAAAAAAAAAAAGAACGCATACACACACATATGTATCTATATATATATATATAGTAAAATAAAGACACAGATGGCAGAGACACAATATTACTGCAAAAGCAGGTGAATGCGGGAACATCCTTGGCTTGCCAGGCTTTATGTGAAGCTTGCACTGCAAGTTAAAAAACAAAACAAAAGTTAGAAATAATAATAAATAAAAAAAGAAAGGAAAATTAGGAGCGCCAGCACCAGCATTCAGTGATGGTGAATGCTCATGCAATGATTATGGAATTGATAGAAATTAAAACTGTAAAAATTTGAGTAAGCTATTCTACATGACAAGCAAAAGCAAAATTTTAATACTGAATTAAAGGACACATGGTTAGTTTTCATTTACATGTAATTTAGAACACAAGAGTGACTTCTTGAAACCATTGTATGTTCTCTCATGGAAAAATTTACTGTTTGATTTGATTTTCTCACATAACACAAAACCATCATTTATTAGGTTTGGATATCACATTAGTACTGAATAGGATGACCTTCATGTTCCATTTCTGAACTGCTGAAGGAGCCAGAGAATAAGTATCAGTAAAAACTGTGAAAGCTGGAACCCATGTAAGGCGAAAACCTGTCAGAGAAGGAAAACTCAAATATTTTCCAATACAGAGTGATAGAATAGTGGTAAGACTGCACCTTGTCAAAGGTGGAATTTTGCAAGACCCTGAAAAACTAAGCAGTCCCATTGCGTTCTGGCTCTCACAGCTTCCACTGTATAATAAATGTCTTTGTACAATTAATTTAGAGGAAAAAATCTAAAGTAGGTTGGAGATTGGAACACAGTAGATGAAAACATGCTATTAATCTACTTGGGAAGGGGGAAAAAAAAAAACAATCATTATATGGTTATAGCTACAGCAATGCCAAGAGCCTTCCCCCTCGTTTAGGTATAAGGCAATGCCAAACCCAAGGTCCAGTGTGGCTGGTTCTAATTTTAGGCAAGTACAAAACATGCAACTTTATCCTTAGTAAGAATCAAAATAATTCTTTTGAAAAAAGATGAGTGGATGGTAGTATAAACTGTAGCTACTAGATGTCAGGTATAGTTTTGAAATGATGTATTTTAAAATTTTCTTTTGGCATAATGCATCATAATGAGCAAATACCTGCTGGCAATCGTGTGGAAAGTTTTCAGAAAAGATGAACACTGTCCGCTGAACAACTTACCCTTGGGCAGTCCCACCACTGTGGTTTAGCCGCAAACAAGGAAAGTGACTTGGTGGCCAGAGATGGCAGGAGGTGGGGGTCCAGCTAATGGCAGTGCCAGGATTAGTTCTACTTTGTAATCTTAGGAAATGTTATATGTTCTCATGCCACTACAGGTCAAGGAGAAGGATAAAGCCTTACCTACGTTAAAAAGGGAGCATTTCATTAGAATAGAAAAGACAGAATTTAAAATTAACAGAAAAACTAAGTTAAGCTCTGAGGTGGAAGCATAGCAGGTAAATAAATAAAGCATCTCTTTTGTTTCCTTTCTGCCTAGAACAAAACCACCTCCTAGGTGGTATAGGTAATGACTCCAGCATTTCCTTCAACTCAGCCATGAAGAAAGTGTTCCGGTTTAGTTCAGTGTTGAGCTAGTTACCCTGGTTACTGTCTTTCTGTGGTCCTTTCTAACCAAAACTTTCCAACTGGCCCTGGAAATAAGAGGTGTGATTTTCATTTTACTTTTACAGCTCAGGTCTCTAACTGTCAGTTGCTTTCATTGTACAACTGGGGAAGTATGGGAAAAAGAAAGAACTTAGAAGTTACATAAAAAAATATTTACATGTGTTGTCAGGTGCAAAGCCTGCTGCCTGTTTTGAACCAAATTAAGTTTAATTACATTAACCATAAATGAGAATACATAAATAAGGCTAAAATAGAATTCGCACATATGTCATGTAAACTTTGAAAGTATTATCTAGTAAGGCCCAAGGATGGAAAGAAAATAATCTAAAATGTTTCAAAGGGCAAGGAAAAATCTCCCTACACTAGAAAGTTTGTTACTAGACACATTTTTTTATTCCCCTCTCTAATGGAGGCACAGTACTGATCACCTCTTGGAATTTTTATTGCTTAAAGGCACATCCAAGATACAGGAAATATTCTTTTAACATTGTTGGTCTTCTATAAACTGTAAGTCTTAAAATATGTACCTTTATGCATTTAAGTGCTTCAGGGTAAAAAAAACTTGACTTTGGGTTTCCTAAGCTGTGCGTCAGCAGCTTTTTCTCTATCTCACTCATACATGACTACAGATGTGTACACACACACGCACACTCATCTGCACACACACCTATTTTTATCTTGGGTTAGTTTGGATCAACAACAGTAGAATGCCAAATGGCTGTTTTTAGAAATGGACTTTCACTTTGTCCTCACTGTGATCTCTGAAACTCTGCTTGCAGACCATCACCTGTAGTGTTCACTACCTCTGAACGTGTGCAGCCATGAAGCACCTTCTTGAACTGGACTATCATCTAGACAAGTTACTCTTGGAATTAATCAAGTAGAATTAAATTTTGAACCCCTGGATTCCTCTGATTGTATCTGTCCTCCCATTACAATCAAACCTCACCCATACCAACTCCTCCATTATTGCTTAGAAAATCTGCCTGCTCCTTCACTCTCTTAATATACCTTCTGCTTTCTCAGAGCTTAGAAAATCAGTGTGTAAAGCGTGAGTTAAAACTCTCTTAGCATGCCATTCATTGTAGCAGTGCATTTTGATTTGTACCACAGGCAACTCAGTGAGATTCCTCAAGGACGAACCTACTTAGTGCATGTTAACTAAGTGAGCAGCACTACTGTGTTCATCTTTCCCTATGAAACTGTCAATTACTGTGCAGAGACTCAATTTTACATATTAATGTATTTAAGAATTATATAATCCTTTGCCTGCTTGAGTATCACCATTTTTGTTGTTTACTTAGTTGCCAGATATTTCTCTAGAACTTTATCATCTAAGGATGAAGAGCAAGGATCCTGAAACAAGTGTGAACTGCTTTACAGCTGCCCTAAGAGCACCCCACTTTAAGCAGACACAGTAGGGCACATGCAGATTTGTCATCAGGCCATACAAAGGTTTTTCTCAACTGTTTCCTACTGATCATTGTCTTTACTTTCACATCAATAGCTAGTGTCATAAAACTGCACTCTTTAGTGTTTAAGGTGATTGGACTCAAAGCTGCAAATCACGGGAGAATTTCATGGATGACCCAAATCTCCCACTGGATTCAGGCAGCTGCTATTAAGAGTATCATACTCAAAAGCAGAATCTGGCCCTTTGGCACATTAAATCAAAGCCACTTTAAAAAATGGTTTCTGTGTGGGTGTAAGTGTGGCTGGAGGTTTGCTGGGGGTGTCTTAACTGGGTAGACATCTTGACAATAAAACAATCCATCATTTTGCTGACTTTTGAGGAAAAACAGTGGTCAATACCAGCTCTTCCAAATATTTCACTTTGGGAACAAGACTCTGAATGGCTAATTTATCAAGCCCTACATCACAGAATAGTAAAATAATTTTGACAATCACAGTTTTAGGATGTTCTTTATCAAGAGAGTCATGAGCACTGTCTTCAAAGGGAACTGAAGAGAAATCGACCTGTCTTCTCAGAGATTCCTACTGTTGGTGCAAAAGGTGCTGATGTAAAGGACAAGTTACTCCAGTCCTGATTGCTTGATCAATGTGGTCAAGTTTTATAAATTAAAGTTTGTGTACCTTTTAAAAATATTTTAAAAATCTTAATCATCTTCCCTGCACTGTAGAGAAAATACCTGCTTTTATCTTTCTGGTAATGAGCCAGTTTCCAGTCTGTAAATGGGAAAAGTAGAGACATGCAGGAGGAATAAACTGTTAGGGTCCCCAGTACATGGGAGTGACACCTGCTTACTTTTTCTTATCCTTGTCTTTCTTGGTTTGCTGGGCCCCAGATTGCTGGGCCTGGGACTGTAGTAACTGAGCTGCTGCTTTCTTCTTCTGGAAATTGTTCACCTCTTCTTCAAGCTCCTTCTTCTTGTCTTCCACTTTTTTCTTTTCTTCTTGATGTGTCCGCTTTAGGAGGTCAAACTTCTCATGAAGCTGGAGAGAAAAAGAGGAGGGTAGGTTTCATGAAAGGAATGAAAAATTTTATTGATGTAATGTTATTTGGATCTGTTTAAAAAAAAAAATGCATCATATTGCTGTAGTGGCCTTAATAAAAGGAGTGAAGTACTATTTGGGTGACTTACTGGAGGGGGACAATTTCATTTGGCAGTGTATTGAGTTATGGGCCAAGCACTCAGGATACCCATTATCTACCAGAAATATCAGACATATCTCTCACATACACATACATACACACAAACACAATACAATTAGATGAATATTATCCATCCACCATCCATCAGATAATGCCTAAGGGCCTTTCCACTATTCATTTAGCTGGCTGATAGACTGAAAATAGTCCCAAAATCCCAAACCTTGAATTTTCAGGCTTGTAAACTGAGAAAATATAGAATGACAAGATTATTTATTTCTTCTAACTTGAACCTCTGATCAGGTATGCAGACCTAAGATTTAGTTTTAGCTCTGTAGTGATGATACTGCCTCGGAAAACCAAGGAGGGGTCGCTATAAGTCAGATCTGACTCGATGGCAGATCCGTTTGTTTGTTTGTTTTGGTTTTGCATATGTTACTACTTAAACTGCCTCTCATTTCTATCATCTGAAAAATGGGAATAAAAATATTGACCCATTTTTCTTGCTGGGTGGGTATACCACTCATGTGATATAATGTATGTAGATGTTGAAGTGCTGAAAGCATGCAGAACTATACAATAGGAAGTATTAGTAAAAACACCTTCCTTATGTTTCTTTCCCTTAAAGGAGGAAAGAAGGCTTACCTCTTTCTCTGCCTCTTTAAGTTCCGCTTCTTTCTCCTTTACCCTCATAACAAACATTTGTCTCATTTCTTCTTCTTTCTTCTGGAGTTCTCCCAGGAATTCATTCCTTTTTGCCTCGTATGTCTCCTGAAGACTATTCAAAATCCCCAAAAGAAAGACCATGTCATGAAACTGCATAACAAGAAATTAAAGTTCATATAATTCCTACCCCATATCATTTCCAAACAGAGATGAGGCTGCTATATACCACAGCACCCACAGAGTCCTGTCCCCCAAGCATCTCTGTCAATTGAGTTGTAAATTAGAGAGCCCCCTCACTAATGTTTCTAGTCATTGAGAACCAGTTCAGAAGGAACCAGTTCTATAGGTCACCATTCATTCTGGCAATTCACAACCCAATTTTCTCTCTTAGAATCTCTTGGAATACCCAGTGGAGCACATGCCAAAGTATGACTATCACCACTAGTAGTTAAGAAGATATTGGCACATGTTAATTTATTTAATCCTTGCAATAGCTGTATAAGGCAAATCATTTCATCATCCGCATTTATCAATGGAGACACTTGAAAACGGAGATGCTTAGTAAGTTAGTAAGATGCTTAGTAATGAAGAAAGGACGGAACTAGGACTTGAACCAAGCTGCCTGGCTCAGAACAGGAGCTCTACCCACTTCCCTGACCACTTATGAGGCTCAGCACAGCATAGCCAGTGAACCCTGGTCTGTTGTGGTTACGTGCTGTCAGATTGGTTCTGACTAAGAGGGACCCCATGTGACAGAGTAGTACTGCACTATGGAGTTTTCTTGGCTGTAACCTTCACAGAAGCAGATAGCCAGGTATATCTCCCACAGGGCACCTAGGTGGATAACCTTTGCCTAGATACTCCTCAAAACAAATGGATATTATGGGCCTGAAAACTTTTTAAGCTCTTGAGATAGTGATGGCAACTAAGTTTTTTTTTTGTGACCTGACTAATGACAAATCAAGAAACTGTATTTTGAGACTAAGAAGGAGAGGTTCAGACAGGGAGTGTTTCAAAATGGCAATGGTATCTCACAAGAAAAGCAGCCTTGGTGACAAATGATGCCAGAGATGGCATGATAGAATTTTGTTAAGACCAACAATCAATTCATTGGAAATACTTTTTTCCAACAACATAAATGTTCACTATTCACATGGACATTGCCAGAAGGAATATACAGGAATTAAATAGAGATTTGTGGAAAGAGACAATGGAGAAGGTAAAAAATGAAATGGAATGCTTGACAGTAGATATCCTAGGCATACATGAGCTGAAATAGACTGGCATTAGCCATTTTGAATCAGATAATCTATGTCAGAAATGACTCACTGAAGAGGAACAATGTAACATTCATTGTCAAAAAGAACATTTCAAGATCCAGCCTGAAGTACAACTAGTTGTGTCAGTGATAGGATAATATCCATATACCTACAAGGAAGACCAGTTAATACAACTATTATTCAAATTTATACATCAATCACTAGTGCCCAAGATAAAGAAACTTAAGATTTTGACCAACTTCTGCACTCTGACGTTGATCAAACATGCAATCATCATGCATTGGTAATTGCTGGTGATTGGAAATGTGAAAGCTGGAAACAAAGAAGAAGGATCAGTAGTTGGAAAATATGGTCTTGGTGACAGAAATGATGCTGGAGATCACCTGATAATTTTTTGCAAGACAATCTATTCATTGGAAGTAACTTTCTTCAACAACATAAACAGCAAATATAAACATGGGTCTTGCCAGATAGAATACACAGGAATAAAATCAACTACTTCTGTAGAAAGAGGCAATAGAGAAGCTGAATATCATCAGTCAAAATAAGGCCAGGGGCTGACTGAGGAATAGACCGTCAATTGTTCATATATAAGTTCAAATGGAAGCTGGAGAAAATTAACAGAAGCACATAAGAGCCAAAGTATGGCCTTGACTGTATCACACATGAAATTAGAGGCTATTCAAGAATAAATTTGACACACTAAACACTAATGACTAAAGACTAGATGAGTTATGGGATGATATTAAGGACATCATACATGAAGAAACGAAAAGTCCTTAAAAAGACAGGAAAGCAACTAGATACACTCCTTGGAGAGAATCATCATGGGAGAAAGAAGGGCTGCTTATGCACAGGGAGACAGCTCAGGGGGCAGGAGTATATGGAGGGATGGACACTGGGAAGACATAACTATGGGGAGGAAGTGGGAGGGGAGCTGTTGCACTCTGGTAAACTGTGGTCAATGACATGAGACAAAGTATATGTGAACTGCTGTATGGAAAGTGAATTTGCTCTGTAAATCTTCACCCAAATCACAATAATAAAAAAAAAAGACAGGAAAGAAAGAAAAGACAAAATGGATATCAGAAGAGACTCTTGAAACTTGCCCTTGAACTGAGAGTAGCTAAAGCAAATGGAAATTATGAAATAAAGGACTTGAACAGATTTCAAAGGGTGGCTTGAGAAGATAAAGTATTATAATGAAATGTGCAAAGATCTGGAGTGAGAAAAACAAAAGGGAAGAACATGCTTGACATTTCTTAAGCTGAAAGAACTGAACAAAAAAATTCAAGCCTCGAGTTGCAATACTGAAGAATTTTATGAGCAAAATATTGATTGACACAGGAAGTATCAAAAGAACAACACAAAGTCACTGTACCAAAAAGAACTGGTCAACGTTCAACCATTTCAGGAGGTGGCATATGATCAAGAACCAACGATATTGAAGGAAGAAGACGAAGCTGCGCTGAAGGAATTAGCAAAAAGAAGGTTCAAAGAACTGATGAAATACCAATTGGGATGTTTCAACAAATAGAAGCAACTTACTCCTTTATGCCAAGATTTCTGGAAGAAAGCTACCTGTCCAACCAACTGGAAGAGATCCCTAATTGTACCCATTCCAAGGAAAGTGATCCAACCCAATGCAGAAATTATCAAATAGTATCATAAATATTTGTTGTTGTTGTTGTTATGTGCCGTCGAGTCGGCCCCGACTCATAGCGACCCCTCCTTGGGTTTCCGAGGCAGTATCACTACGGAAGTAGGATTGCCCAACCTTCCTTCCGAGGAGTGGCTGGTGGGTTTGAACCGCCAGCCGTCTGGTTAGCAGGCAAGTGTCTTAGCCACTATGCTACCAGAGCTCCCATCATAAATATTTAGTGAAGATAATTAATTCAAAAACTGTTACTTCAGTATCATCACCAAGGAACTGCCAGAAATTCAAGCCAGATTCAGAAGAGGATGTGGAATGAAGGATGTCATTGCTGATGTCAGATGGATCTTGACTAAACGCAGAAAATATCAGAAAGATGTTTATCTGTGTTATATTAACTATGCAAAGGCATTTGACTGTGTGGATCATAACAAATTATTGCAAAGAATGGAAATTCCAGTACCCTTAGTTGTGCTCACGCACAAACTGTACATAGACCAAGAGGCATTTGTTTAAACAGAAGAAGTGGATATTGCATGACTTAAAATATGGAAAGGTGTGTGTCAGGACTGTATCCTTGTATCATACTTACTTAATCTGTATACTGAGCAAATAATCTGAGAAACTAGATTATATTAAGAAGAACATGGCATCAGGATTGGAGGAAGGATCATTAATAACCTATGATAGGCAGATGACACAACCTTGTTTGCTGAAAGCAAAGAGAAGTGGAAGCACTTAATGAGGAAGATCAAAGATGAAGTCTGCAGTATGGGTTACACCTCAACAAACAGAAAATAAAAATCCTCACAATTGTACTGATAAGCAATATCATGATAAACGGAGAAAAGAATGAAGTCACTTAGGACTCATTTTACTTAGCTGCACAGTCAACACTCATGGAAGCAGTAGTTAAGAACACCTTGTATTGGGCAGATCTGTTGCAAAAGACTTCTTTAAAGTATTAACAAGCAATGATGTCACTTTGAGAACTAAGACTGCCCTGAGCCAAGCCATGGTATTTTCAGTCACTTCATATGCATGTGAAAGCTGGGCAGTGAATAAGGAAGACCAGAGAAGAATTGAGACCTTTGAATTATGGTGCTGGCAAACAACACTGAATGTACTGTGAACGGCTAGAAGAATGAACAAATCTGTCTTGGAAGAAGTACAGCAAGAATGCTCCTTGGAAGTGAGGATGCACAGACTCTGTGTCACATACTTTGGATATGTTATTACAAGGGACCAGTCCCTGGAGAAGTACATTATGCTTGGTAAGTAGAGGGTCAGGAAAAAAGGGAAAACCCTCCACAAGATTGACTGACACAGGCTACAACAATAGGCTCAAACATAGCAATGGTTGTGCAGAGAGGGCAGGACCATGCAGTATTTTTTATTTTTATTTTTTTACTATAAGTCAGAAGTGACTAGACGAAACTCAACACAACATTTTCTGGTGACTAACTGCATTACAAGATTCAATTAACTAAACTTGTGTGCAAAAAGGAATCCTGTATTTTGCCTCTGAAAGCAATATTTCGTATGGTTGAAGGTGTCCTTTTTATAAGCCCCAAGGGCAGGATTTAAAGAGGCAGGCTTATTTACAAGTTCTAAGTCCTTTGTCTGTAGACTCTACTTGTTCTTGAAAATACAGAGATATCCACAGCAGTCCACAGGACCATCGTAGCAGGGCACCAGCCTGGATATTATTAAACCATTTCTAAGGTAATCCCAAGGCAATAAACCCCTTCTGCCCCCAGGACAGCTCAGACTCAGGGGTACAGATTAGCCCACACTGTGCACAGCTGCACTGTTCTATAGTCAGCTGACTCCTGGACATCACAGTATGAGTTATAGGGTCTAGCTACAAAAAAAGAAGAAAACAGACTTTTCTAAAAAACTGTGGCCCCCAATCGGTGGCAGCACTGAGCCCAGAACACCTCTCAGTTCAAATCCTAGTAAGAAACTGCTTGGGTTCAGTTCAGACAAAGTAATCCTCTCTTGTACCAGGAGGTGGCAAACCTGGCTTGACAGTCCCAACTTCTACCATGACCTAGGGCAGTCCCCTCATTTCCCAAACTTGGTTGTGGGGCAATTACCCTGACCACGAGGTTCTGATAGGGACCAGGTTGTTACTGGTAGGCACTAATTCTACATTAATTCCCATATTCTCCCCTTTCACCCTTTGCCTCTTCACCTCCAGCCAGTAATTATGTGGGGAAAATACACATTATCCTTTTAGGTAAAATTACCCTTTTCTCTACTCATCCATTAGTGTTAAGAGACATACTGAACTAGTAAAAGCTATTAAGAGAACTTCAAAAAGTAAGATCCTTGAGTAGCTAAACCCCTACTTGGTAAAAATGAATGAAACTGTGGTCAGCAGTGTCCCTTTTTAAATGCATTGATCAGGCTCTGTCCCTCTGAAAATATAATGGTTAACAGCATGGACTCACAAGCCAGCTTGTTAGGGTTCAAATCTCACTCTCAATCACTTACTATTCATAGGACCTTTGGAAGGTCATTTATACTCTCAGTGCCTTAGTTTCCTTATCTGTAAAATGAGGATAATAATGGCATCTACTATATCCATTAGCTGAGAAAACAAAAATGAAATGTTTATCACAATGGCTGCTATTAATCTTCCCCTATGAAGTCCCTTCATCACTGACAACCTAACAAGTCATTTCTGTGATGTACCAAGGCCTCACTCCCACCACTGACTGGGAAACACCTGACTGCTAGGTCTCCTCATACCTAAAGGGCTTGCTATCAGGATCAGTGTCCTTGAACCCCATCTCCTCCAGTTTACAGCGTCGATATAATTCGTAGTGGCGGGTGTGAGTCTGTTCTCGCAAGTCTTCCATATTCACACGAATAAGCATCTCCCGAAGTTTCACAAAATCACAATGGTTTTCATTCTCAACTGTAAGAGATGAAGAGAAAGGGGGTCGGGGAACTATCTGCAATGATGCCATGAAAACTGAAGTGATACTTCCAAGATGTTGCTACCATCACTCCTGAAATCTCTAAAGTCTCAAAGCCACTTGCAGATCCTTTATGGGAATCACTCTACATTTCTAACGAAGACAACATTGGCCATAAAACTGCTGTTGATGGCAACAACAGTAACTGTGAATGCCTACTTAGTGCAGGACACTATGGAAAGAATTTTACAAATAATGTATTTATTATTTATAATAATCTTGCAAGGCAGACATTGTGACTCTTGCTTTGTAGATGCAGAAGCATTGATAAGGAAGCAGACCACCCATTAAAGGCAAGAGAGTCGAGATTTAATACAGTTCCACCTGGATCCAATACAAGGCCTATTTCCATTATTCTGTGCTGTCTAGAATGATACAAGGTGGTTTTGTCTATACCAGCTCATTTAATTTTAACAACAACCCTGTGAAGAAAAGAGTTTCCTTACTGTAGAGAAATTTGAGAAGACTCAGAAAAATTAAGCAAATTTTCCTAGAAATTTTTAAAGGTGCTATGTCTTCTCACAGATTTATTCAGAACAAAAGAAAAGGTTGACTGATAAAAAAAAATAGGACACTTTCTATAGCTATCCCACGTAACCCATAGCATAGACATCCTTCTTCAAAACACACAAGGGTAGGTCATAGCATCCTTGCTCTTCTAAGGGACACATTGGAAGCTTCTTTAGTGTAGAGACTGTGGTTATACCACAGTATGCCAAGTATAGGTCAAACATTCTCATAACGCTCAGATATTTCATGAGATAACATTTAATTGGAAGATGTTTCCAGAGATGATGGAGAAATAAGTGCCTTCTTCTTTGCCAAGAAACTGTCTGTAGCTTTCTTATAGGTTGCTGATGGAACAAGTTTGAATTCCCAGGGAAGAACTCTTCTATCTGGAATGCATGCTGAATTTCCTACACAGAACACCATTCTTAAAGGGCTGCCTCGTTGGCACTAGGGCTTTGCAGCCACTTCGCTCCACTGTCAACCGTCTCTTTCTTCCTCACCTCCACTGAACACCATTGCCAGGTGTGAAACCCCACCACTCCCTCTGCCTGTTCACTGATAGGAATCTCACCAACAAGACAGGGAAGGAAGGAAGCATAGGCATTGACCACACAGGTTAACAGGAAGAATTCCTTCCCTGTGATGTGCACATACCCTGCACTACACCCCAAGGGTACTGCCTGGCCTTCGCCATCTTGTTGCCAATCTTCACCTCTTCAGTGCTGCCAACCACTGCAAATGGGAGATGGACCTGCCAAAAACAGAAGCACAAGCCGTAGTTATATTCCACAGCTCCATCAAAGACAGGCTTTCCACCAGACTCTCCCTGCTGCCTCCTTCTGTAGGCCTCTACTTAGCAACAGATAAAGGTGTAGGACAAGTAGGAGGCTCTGCAATTTAGTGGGGGTGCACTGTATGTATCCTATTCCCCTATAACCAAATACTGAATATTTAGTATGAGTAGAGTCAAGGAGAAACTATAACAAGGCTTTGTAAATATATGGTAAGCTTTAGACTTGTGCTGCCCAATACAGTAATTATTAACTGTACAGGGTTACTGAGCACTTGAAATGGGACTAGTGGGACTGATTAACTAAATTTTAAATTTCACTTAAATTTAACTAGCTTAAATTTAAATTTAAAAACAGAAGCATTGTAAAATATTTTTTTTCTTAAATACAACTTCATGGTTTTAGGACAGTATTTCACTTTGCTTTAAAATCAAATGACATTTTCTAAAAAGGAAAAACTAGTTTTGTCAATGTGGATGTAAAAAATAAAGGAAAATAATTATTTTGATTCCTAATGGAAAAGTTTTAAGTATATTTAGAGCAACTTGGGTATATGAATCTACTTTTTCAACTGTATGCCTTATTCATGTAAATGCAAACACAGATCGCGTATTTCCAATGACGATTTAGCAGCCTATTTGGGTGTATATTAAGTGTAAAATAGACACAAGATTTAAAATATTTAGTATGGAAAAACAAGGATGTACAATAGCTCATTAATAAGTTTTTTTTATGTTGATTACTTGCAGAAATGATGGTATTTTAGATATATTGAGTGAAATAAAATATTAAATTACTTTTATCTATTTATTTTTACTGTTTAATGTGGCTACTAGAAAATTTAAAATTACTTATGTAATTTCTATTTCTATCATATAGTGCTGTTTTGGACAGTTGGTCACTGTACAAAATCTAGTGAGAAACAATTTAGCCCAAATCATTGGCTCTAGCCTTGTACCTAGATTGATCTCAAGGAGAGATGATGTTGTTCAAGACAACTGACTCTTACACATTAATTCATTTGGTAGCTATGGCTACATTCTAGGGGAAAACATACTAATTCCATCTTTTTTCCATTGTAAGAATAAGATTTGAAATGGCTGCTTTGAGAATTATTACTTGAGGTTCCTTGCTCTGCTGCTGAAGTTTAGAAAGAAGGGAATGCTGTAAAGCCAATATTCTCCCACAGGGCGTAATCCTCCGTGCTGTTTGCCCTAGTGGCATTTTTTTTTGATGCTCAAGGATAAAATTTCTGGTTCACCTTACACTCTGTAGAAGAAAAGAATGTATATTCTCTTTTTCAAACTCTAAGTTTAAAAATGAAACATCTTCTCTGAAGTTGAGGGGCAGTAGAACCCTCCCATCTTTCTCCACTCAAAAATAATAACAAACACAAAACAAATGAAATCTGTTTTCCTCAGATTTTCACGTATCATATGGGATTTTGTCAGCAGGAATTATCTGCAACAGAGAGCCTAAAAGAAAATTTATTGATAAAGAGCAAGATTAATTTGGGAATGTCAATGGTCTTCAGCTCCACTAAACTGATCAAGAGAACAAAGGCTCACAAGACATTTACCATAAATGTAGTTTCATGGCCCTAGTCATAAAAAATGATTTAAAAGGATGGAGAAGGACATAAAGAGAAAATCAGATGGTACTTATCCATGGCAATCCCTGACTCTGCACTAATACCCCAAATTGCAGTTCTGTAGTAGAAAAAATAAGTGATACCTCAGCCTGAGCTTTTGACCATGTTGTAAAATAAATACACTGCTCTGGCTCAGGTAGTGCTTAATAGAAAAATTGGGAGTATGGGCTCTTAAAGCCAAACTGGCCAGGTTCTAAACCTCCCTCCAATAGCTGTGCAATCTTAAGTACTATGCTGCAGTTTCTCATATGGAGACTCCACCACCAGCAAGTTGATTCCAACACATAGTGACCATATAGGATAAGGCAGAACTGCCTCATAGGATTTCCAAGGCTATAAATCTTTATGGAAGCAGATTGCCTCATCTTTCTTCCATGGAGCAGCCAGTGGGTTCAAACTGTCAACCTTTTGGTTCAGCCAAAAGCTTTAACCACTACACCACTACAGCTCCTTTTCCTCATATGAGAGATAGGAATAATAGTACCTACCATGTGATTGCTGTGCGTTTAAATGTAAAGCCCTTGAATAGATCTGATGCATAATAAATGTTCCATAAATGTAAAACTGTACTATTATTTTGAAGTTCAGCAATACCCATAACCAGAGAATTTTAGAGGCAGAAGAGATCTCATATACTTTGCAGTCCAACTCTGTACAAACTCCTTCCAGTATTTCTTCTAAGTGGGTTGAAACAGAATCTGTTGTCCACCACCCACTTACGATGCAAGCTCACTACTTCAACAACATGTTTCTTCCATTATAATGGCTTCAGTAGTTAAACATTCCCATAATATTGGACCAAAATCCTTCCTGCTCTTTCGCCCATTAGTCTTGGTTCTGTCTTCTGAATAAGTCTATTCACTCTCCCTTTCACAGCCCCTCATGCCTTCTCTTATTTCTCAGGAGAAGCCTGCTTTCTAGTTTCTTCCAGACATCTTTTTGTGCCAAGGACTGCAGACACTTTACTATCCCAGCCACAGGAGTAAGCTGGCCAGAGTGGATCACACAACTCAAAGTGTGACCAGACTAGGGGAGGGAGGGGCTGAACTCTCTCTGCATTAATGAGACCCTACATTTTAAATTCATATAGTAACAACCCCAGAGAAGAAGAAAAGTTATGCTTGTTTTTAAAGTCATAGTCATACTGGGAACAACTTAAAGAAGAAACTCCTTTTGAAGGTATAACAGTCTTACAGAAAACGTCCATATGCCCAACTGAAGACACAAGAAGCAGTTTTGTGGAGTAACAATGATCCCCCAAATTATAAGAACAAACAGGACTGGGGATCAGGTAGGCTGGGCTGAAATCTCAGAGTTGATATTATCAATATGACTTTAGGTAATGCACTTAATTCTCTAGATGAATTTTGACCTAATTCCATTAAATTATATCCCACAAAATGTCTGGAATAGGCAAATCTATAGACACAGGAAGATTAGTGGTTGCTAAGGACTAGGCGCTAAGGAGCTCTGGTGGTGTAGTGCCTAAGTCATTTGACTGCTAACCAGAAGGCTAGAAGTTCAGACCCACCAGCCACTCCTGGGAAGGAAGACTGGGCAGGCAATCTACTTCCGTAGAGACACTGCCTCAGAAACCCAAGGAGGGGTCACTATGAGTTGGAATCGACTCAATAGCAGTGAGTTTCATTAGAAGCTCTGGTAGCATAGTGGCTAAGACACTTGCCTGCTAACCAGACGGCTGGCAGTTCAAACCCACTAGCCGCTCCTCGGAAGGAAGGTTGGGCAATCCTACTTCCGTAGTGATACTGCCTCGGAAACCCAAGGAGGGGTCGCTATGAGTCGGGTTTGACTCGACGGCACATAACAACAACAACAACAAGGACTAGGATGGAGGAGATGTGGGGGGAAAGGGGGACTCATAAAAGATACAGGGTTTCTCTTTTGGGTGATGAAAATTGCTTAAATTAATTTTGATAATGGCTATCCAAGGCTAAGCAAGGAAACCTGGTGGTGCTCAGCTCCTAACCAGAAGGTTGGCAGTTTGAATCCCGTAATCACTCTGTAAGAGAATGATGTGGCAGTCTACTTCCAGAAAGATTTACAGCCTTGGAAACCTCATGGGGCGGTTCTTACTCTGTCCTATAGGGCGACTGTGAGTCAAATCACACCAAGGCAATGGGTTTGCTTTTTTCAATGGCAATGCAAATTACTGAATATGCTATTTAAAAAAGACAAAAATTAGGTGGCTTTAGTACATTTAATAATGATTTGATTAGACAACTTTTCATGATCACTTTTTCTAGGGAAAGTAGGGCAGACCTCACACTACCACAAATTTAAAAATCTATACTGGCTTCTTTGGCCACCAGCACACTTTTAAACATTATTTAGCATATATTTAGGGAATGTCAAGCCATTTAATAGATTAACTGAAGCTAACCTACAGTTTTAAGTATTCTAATAACTACCATTGGGTATCTACTATATGCAGAGAATGCTGATTTTATACATCTACACATTCCTCCTTCACTGCCCCCCCCCAAAAAAGATACATATAATCATTGTAGCCCATGGATAAGCTATGCACACAAGATACAAAAAGGAGCAATCAGAAAAGATTCAGGTCTCAACTGGCAGGACAGAATCTCAGCAGGAGAGATTATAATCACAGGCATAATTCTAAGAACTTTTGTAGTTTTAATCATTTCTCTCCTGCCCAGTTTTCTGTGATGTGGAAATTGTACTGCCAATTCACCTAATGATTCAGGAAAAGGTAAGGAAAATAGAAAGGAAAGAAAGCAGAACCAGTCAGGAAAGCAAAAGTGAAGCAGGTGGACATATTTCTTGGGAGGAGCAAGCGGAATGGTGCTGGGTTGGCATTTTCTCCCTACAAAATTTGTCTTGAAATCAAACTGTTAGGGCTGAAAGAAAATTTGAGATCATCTTGTCTATCTATTCCATTGACAGACGGGGAAACTGAGGAGCAAGGCAGTTAAATGACTTGAGTTAGTGCAGAGGTGGACTACAACCAAAGACATCAGATTTGTAGTCCAGTCAATGTTCAACTCACTCTGCGATGCTACTACTAAGAAAAGCTTTCAGGAAATTCCTTCTTGGTTCCTTCTTACTTGAAGACTTACACTCATTGTTGCATTAATCTCTGCTACTGTTTCTTCATCTGTGGGGAACTGATATATCTGGACACCATTGCTGACTAATTCACTCATGATCTTACTCTTGAATTTGTGCAATTCATTCTTGGCAATGGTGTCAGCTTTTGCAATTATTGGAATGATGTTCACCTGTAAAACAAACAAGTCTATTGTTCACAATTGCAACATTAAAAAATATATATACAAATGAATAAAATACAGCAAACAAATAAATAAAAATTGTAAATTTCACTGTAAAAAATAGAGATGATATTGAAAATCAGACTTTCTACTGAGATACAAAATTAAGGAGACATAGGATAATCTTTTAGTTCCATCTCCCAACACTTTTACTTCCTCTCAGCCTACACTGAAAGCATACTTGTAATTTTCTCTCCTGTGCTACCTCATTCTTCTTTACAGAGTAAAAAAAAAGGAAGTGTTATTATTCTCTGACAAATAGTGATTAACAAAGAAACTTATTCTTTGAATAACCAGCCACTCCTTTTAGACCCCTCCTAGCTACTTTAGGTGCTTGGTTGTTACGTGTTCTTAACAGTGTAATAACAAAGTCTTGGTTTGTTACAGCAGTAGAACATTCAGCACTCTATACAGGATAAAATTCCTTCTTTCTTCTGATGACCTGAAAACTTCCGGAAGAGGGGAATCTAAGCATTACTAACAACAATAACAACAACATAATTGTTTCACCTACTTTAAACTTTTTCAAAAGTACACCAACCAACTCTTCTTTCATCAATGGCTTCTATCAAATTACCTCTCTGGGTCAGCCAAAGGCAGGGCTCATTTCAGAGCACAAAGATTACAAAGAGCAGAGGAGAACCCAGGATTTGACAAGAATGTGAGAAAGCCCAGAATGAAACCCAAGGACACAGGCAAAATGGAAGCTCCAAACTCCAAGGTAGGTTCTTTTTCCAATGCCCTGGGTCCTGTCTCCTGGACACATTCTTTAAAGCTCACTTTTTTTTTTTTAAATTTTATTGTAATTTGGGTGGAAGTTTACAGAGCAAATTCACTTTCTAGACAGCAGCTCACATATACTTTGTCTCATGACACCAACTACAATATGCCAGAATGCAATAGCTCCCCTCTCACTTCCTCCCCATAGTTCCCTGTGGCCTCCCCTTCCATGCACTCCGGCCTCCTGAGCTGTCTCCCTAAGCATACTTCTATTTTCCCATGATTGATCACTCCAAGGAGTCAATCTACCTAATGTAAATTGTTCAGCTCATTTTTTTTTAATGATTTTGAGTTGTGTTTCATGTTGCTCTTCATTCTATCCAGGATTTCCTACATAGATCCTCCTCTGAGTGGTTGACAGTGGTAGCCAGACACCATCTAGTTCCTGAATCAATATTTCTTTTTTTTTTTTTTAATTAGGATTTGGGTGAAGATTTACAGAG